AATAAAGTGATGCACAGGGTACCTGACCCTCCTACCATATTGTCTGTTAGCCTGTGAAACAAGGAAACCATGACACGCAGGGAATGTAGCTGCACTAATCAGTGGCCAAAAGCAACTCGCAGCTACCTCAAAAATGCCTCTGTGGTATTTGAAGAAGCTGGAAGCTGTCAACTACAGAAAACAATGTCTCACAAAAGCACTCAGTAAATGCAGTAAAGATCTCAAATTTGCATTTTCTCTAGAAAAACAGTTTATAGCACAGCACCCTCATGTTTCAATTTGCTAGTTCAAAGACAGTTCAATTTGATTCTGTTCCCACAACTGGAACATACAGGAGGGCCACTGGCAATTTAGAATTGAAACAAGTTATAAGGTAACACTTACATGCATGGTTTAGTCTACGGTCTTAGTCACCACACCATTCTACAACATTTTATGGTAACATGCTAACAAGCACTGTAGGTCAAACCAAGTGATTAAAAAAAATAAAACCCAGTCAGGTCAGAGCACGTTGCTGCTGTACCCAGCCTCCAAATGCTATTTAACTCCTAGACTTTCTAGCAAACGTGCAGCTCCTAATGGTGATTTGGCAGAAAAGGCCAGGATGAGGATTAATTACCCTGCTAACTTGAGGCTATTGAACAGACCGCTCTATAGCTCTGTGATTAGCTCTTCTGACTGCCACAAGAATCCTTCCTCAGGCCAGCCTTTCACTCCCAGCCTGGCATCTGAAGACGCCAAGGGGCAGTTTTCTGCTGAGCAGAAAGACTCATCCAGGCTTTCAAACTGATGAGGACAGCAAATGTCCTGGTGCAGACAGGTACACGGGACCTTCAGGAGGCAGGAAAGAAAAAGAGGTAGACTGGGAGCTCGAATTATGTCCTTGCAACGTGCTTGAATAGGTGAGGAACGCAAGTGCTCCTCAAACAGCAATCCTGAGGGGCTGAACGGAAGCTTCTGACTCTACTCACTGCGTGTAACACATGGAGCTCAACAGGAGCTGCTAGCCTGAGAAGTTAAATAAGAATCAACGGTCTCTTGCAAAGAACAGTGGCATAAGAACAACAAAAAATGTGTATGTTTGCTTTGCATTTTAGCTGGGGATGAGAGACTACTTAACAGCTCAAGATAAGTATTCTACTGCTGACAGGAGCACTGCTTTGGTCTTTATTGGGCCCAAAGTTTAAATAAAAGCTTAAAGGGAAGCTTGGATTCTTCAACAAGACTTTAAAAGCTGGAAGGACACAAAAAAGACTGAATCCTGCCCTATCAGACTGTTGTAAACAAGGGAACATATTCATGCAACTCTGCCACTGGACTGCTGCAGAATAACCGAGGGGCTCAGAGATGGCTCGCTTGACCTACTTGGATCGTTTTGGTGATTTTCACGGCTGGATTTACTGTCCCCATAGCTGGGCTGATAGCAGCTGGAGTGTTCCTTTTTAAACTGATCTTCTCTCTGGCATCCACCACTTTGGTCACCTTTTCAGCAGCAACACTTTGCTGCTTACGGGAATTCAACATCTCCCGAGCATCCTGCACCTTCCCTTTTATTTTGAACCGAGCGTCCTTTTGAACCAGTTTTTCCCGAGCATCTTTAACCCCCAGTTTGTGCCGGGCATCAGTGATGCCGATCTTCTGTCGGGCATCAAATGTCCGCTGGAAGTTGACGGCTGGTGACGATCTACTCAGAAGATTTTGCTGGATCCCAATACGAGATCTTACACCTCCAAATACTGGCCTCGTGTTAAGCCTGAAAAAAAAAAAAAGTTCAGACATTATAAGGCGTGATACTGTATTGTTGTGGCTTAACCCGGCCGGCAGCTAAATGCCACACAGCCATTTGCTCACCCTCCCCCCTCCCTCTCTGGGATGGGGGAGAGAAATGGGAAAGTGAAGCCTGTGGGTTGAGATAAAAGACAGTTCATTAAGACAGGAAAATAATAACAATAACAAGAACAATAATAATGATGCTAATAGTACTACTACTACTACTGTGTACGGAATAAGTGATGCCCAATGCAATTGCTCACCACCCACTGACCAATGCCCAGCCTAAACCCGAGCAGCCGCCCCCCCCCCCCCACCCCAACCAGCCACCCCTATATCTTGTTCAGCATGACCCCTGTGGTATGAAATACCCCTTGGGCCAGTTTGGGTCAGCTGTCCTGGGTCTGCCCCCTGCCAGCTCCTGCTGCACCCCCAGCCTGCCCGCTGGCAGGACAGAGCGAGAATTGAAACATCCTTGGCTTGGTGTAAGCACTGCTCTGCAACAATTAAAACATCAGCGTGGTGTCAACATTCTTCTCATCCTAAGCCAAAACACAGCACCAGACCAGCTACTAGGAGGAAAATTAACTCTGTCCTAACTGAAACCAGGACAAGTATCCACAGAAGTATCTGTGCCACTGCTTAGAAAAGCTCACGATTACTGCACAGACCAGGTTACCTGTCCGAATACAGCCCCTAAACTGTTTTACGCTGGATTTTACTTTGCTTGCAAATAGCTAAAGAACTATTTGTCAAAAGTCCTTAAGCTCACGTTTAAGAACTCAAGTAAAGGCCTGACTTCATCTGTGCTAAAAAACAACTATATTTAAACAAAATTAATCAAAAACTTAGGTACTTTGGGGAACTCTTTGAAGACAAACAGAAATAGATTTTCTAGCATTAGGACTGAGCAGCTCCATTAAAACATCTCTCGTAGTACAATCATGGGCCTTGAAACAAAGAAAGCGGGGAGCTATACGTCTGATTTCAATAGTTCTGGGCAGCAAGCTCACAGCTTTGGGACTGTAGGAGGCGTGGATTCCAGAGTGCACAACTACAGGCACCATTCTCAGCTCAAAGCTGCTAGCTCCAAAACTGAGGAACACTTAAGAACGCTGTAAGAACACTTACAAGTACATCATCACCATTGCAAAACTGAGCACAGAAGCTAATAGTCCAAGCAGCCTGTTACGCAGTGAAGCAGAAACTAGCTTCCTATTACAGGTCTGACTTACTTGTCCAAAATTTCCCCTAAAAGGAAGTAGCCTGTCTGATTTTTTTAATACTGGTCTTTCTTCAAGTATTTCGTAAAGTTTTAGGGTTTCGTTTTTGTAAAGAAACCCTTTTAATTAGGCTTCTTTTTTTTTTGTAAAGATGACAAAAATGTAAGCAATTTTAAAGCTATAATAGTGGAAAATATTCTTGATGTCATTTTTTTTTTTAATTCCAAATAAGCTACAGTACTATAGCATTCATCTGCTTTCAAAACCATAACGCATAGGATCATAGCCTAAAATTAGGTAGCTGGAATTTGTTTTAGTACCTAAAAGGCTAATGCCATGAATTCAAATGATGATCCAATTCACATTCTCCATATAGCTTTCTATTAGTATTTCCTGATCTAACCCTATCTTAGCATAATTTGCCATCTTGTATTTACAGAGGAGAGATGTGTGGAGAAGAGATGAAACAGCCTGAGACCCAACACCCACTTCCATGGCTCTGTTCTTGCCGCACCCCAAACTGGAAAGCTCAGACTGGGGTCCCGCTGTGTTACCCAGCTTAGAAATCCTACAGCTGCTCTCTCGTACAGCCAAAGCACAGCAGCTCCACGAGACCGGACTGCTACCAAGATCATTTATTAAAATATATCCAGAAGAACATGAAGGTGTAAATGCACCCATAAAGCAACAGCCACAAACAAGACTTCCCTTGCTGTTTTAAAACATTAACATAGCGAAGCAGAAAGCAGTTGGCTAGAGTGCTGCAGAGGATTCATGAGTGTTCCTTTTAATATGCATAAAAGAAGTCAAAGTAAAACCAGAAATATGTGTATCAGCATTTAAGCCAGAATTAGACTGTTAACAACACGCATAATGAAATCAGTTAGGAAACTCTGTACTGAAGATTATACCTTCTCTGAAGGCTTTGTTTACCCTAATAAGCAACTCTTCTCTGGACAGAATTGACAACCCTGTAACAGCACAAACAGTTTGAGCACTTTGTGCCATGGCACCTGAAACACAAGGGAATCTCAAACATCTGATTTCCTTTCAAATACTATGAGCTCTGACTCATTTATTACACAAAAATGGCATTTTGTGGGCAGGGATATTTTATAGTTGAAGATTTTTCAGTTATCATTTTGTCTAGATTACTAAAGAGCATGTAATATAACCAGACAAGTTTGCTGGCTTTGCCCAGCCTTCCCGAAGGCACGCGAGCTACCTGAGACATTTTACAAAGCAAGCTAAGCGTGCCAAGTGAAATTCGAGGTGCGGGAACTTGAGGGCTTACTGCTCGGCAGGGAGATTCCCTGGAAGGAAGGAGAGCGAAGGGGGAGCTCGCAGGGAGCCGCGGCGCGCCCTGAGCTGCACCAGGCGGCTGCCAACATGGAGGGCAGCGGGAAGGAAGGTGCTGGCAGCTCCCTGCCGCCCTCGAGGTATCACAGGTCCAAAAGGGTCGGGAACCAGCCGCTCGCTCCTCAGCGAGGAACGGCCCCAACGGTCCCAACGGTCTCAACGGTCGCCCGAGTCCCCCTCGCCTCACAGACGGGCCCCGCGCGCCGGCCGCCGCCCCCCCCCGAAGGCCCGGCCCCGCGGCGGGCAGCGGCCTCGCGAGCGGGAGGCCCGGCAGGGGGAGCGGGGGAGCCGCGGGGGAGCCGCGGGGGAGGCGCGGGGCAGCCGCGGGGAGCCGCGGGGGCCGCCTACCTGCCCTTCCCCGCCACGCCGCGCTTCCGGATCAGCTCGTCCAGCGACAGGTCCGCCATCTTGTCGCGGGGCCCAGCGAGGAGACGCAGCCAGCGAGCCCCGGACGTGACATCACCGTCCTTCCGCCACTTCCCGCCCCCCCATCCCATCCCATCCCCGCGCCTCAGTGCGATGCCCGCCCCCTCCCCAGCCCCGCCGTCCCACAAGCCCCAGCGGCGCCCCGGCGGCTCATTTGCATACGGGCTGGGACACGGCACGGCTCGGTTCGGACTAAAAAATACTTTTTTTTTTGGCTCAGAACGGCGCGAGGAGAGGATATAAAAGCAGAGCCACACGGATATAACGTATTCTAGTCGGGGTAGAGAGGGCGATCTTCTCGCCCTGACCTACAGAGGTATCGCGCAGAGCCCTCCCCGCGAGCCGGCGGCTGTCCCGTTATGCCTTAAACTTATGAGTAAGGAAAATAACGACCCGGGGTGACGCCCGGGTCCTCACTGCTGATGTGAGAGGAATTTTTGCGCGGGTACAGGTCGCCCCAGGGTGACCCGCTTACTTCGCGGGATGCCCGGGAGCCGCGATCTGCCCGACCCCAGAGCCCCGTGTCCCAACGACAGAGCCGGACAGGGCCCCGCAGCCGATAACCCCGCTGTTGGAAAACTTCGCAGCCAGCATTTCGAGCACATTCCTGTAAGCTTCAGAGCAGCCCCCGTGGTTCAGACTTAAAGCTCCATCCCTCCAGTGTGTTCCCCCCCCCCCCCCCCCGCAGGGAGACAGTAGGGTCGGGAATGTGCGCTCTAGTGTCAGGCCCGTCGCCCTGCACCCGTGCCATTTCCCCAAATAAACTCATCTGCCTCGTTTGTGGAGGGTTTGTGCTCCTCCAGGAGGTAAAAACCCAAGTGAACCAGAGCAGGCCCTGTAAGCCAACGCTCAGGGAAGAATTAGAACAGAGCAAGCACTCAAATACAGAGTGGCAGATCCAGATGCTTTCCGTCTTGTTTTCTACTCATTTGCTAATATATACTCATAATATACTAATATAATATATAATAATATACTCATATTCCTAATACCAGATTTTGTTTTTCAATCGCTCCTGATAATTTTATGCATCTTTTGTCAAGACCCCCAAGTTTTGCTGCTGAGCAATAGCGATCAGGTGAGAGCCCGTCCTTTTGTCTGTGCGGTGGGAATTGTTTTCCCCTGTAAACACCCCTTTTATGTAAACACACACTGAAATTCCGACATTTTATTGCCGCTCTGTGTGTTAGATCATTCTGCAGTCCTTCCATCACTTTCATGACCCCAAATAATTCCACATCAGCAAACTGTAATCTCCTGGCTCACCCTTTTTAAAGACTACTCACAACCATGTTAAACATCACAGGTCCCAGCACAGACCCCCGCCATACTCCACTTGTGGCTTTTCTTCATTTACCCTTCCCCTCCGTTTCCTGGTTTTTAGCTAATCATTTATTCATGACAGGCTGTCTCTCATCCCGTGACCGCTTAGATGCTTTGAAAGCCTGTGGTGAAAGATTTTTTCAAAAGCTTTGAGAAATCCAGGGGGATTAGACCAACCAAGTAGTACGCTCCTGCTTGCAGACTTCTCAAAGAAACGCACAGCTTTGGAAGTCTTTGTACAGAAACCACGCCAACTCTTCCCAAGTAGGTCGTATTCATCCAGCACCCACTGATTTCCCCCCTGTGCTCTCTTACAGCACCTTATATACCTTAGCTCTTGGCTACAGAGCACATTAAAAAGGGAAAAGTACAGGCTGTGGCTCCCCCCCTTCTGGCTGTGCGACTTACACAGGGTCTCTTGGCTGGGGGTTAGTTTCTTGCCGTGAGACATGACAAGCTCAGCTTTCACCGGTCTCTCCCAGTTCCCCCTTTCATCTGTGAATGAGAAGTCAAATATTTGCTTGGGGAAGGGCCCAGGCCTCCCTTCCCTTCTGATGACACAGAAATATTTTGTATGAAAGCAATCGAGCAATTCTGTAATTAAACTCAAGAGGGAACTAGCTGCTGCGTGGGAAATTTTTCTATGTCAGGTTTTGTACAGTGAAGCAGAATCCTAATAACTAATAACAATCTCCTGGCTTACTACATTTTCCTTTTTTTCTGTCCAGTTTGAAGGTAGAGAGACATTAATGCTTTTGGAGGTTACACTAGAGATGTCAGTTAATATAAGGTTGAGTTCTCTCTCTCGTTTATCTCTATAAACACTTATTTATTAAGATGCATGCTATCTAGCAGGAACAAACTCTATTCTTAAAAATACAAAGAGAAAGGGCCAGACTTGGGATTAGTTTGGAATACAGCAAACATTTGCAGAAATAATGGGATATTCTTATCATGGTAAAAGTTTAAATGACCAGCAAATGTGCAGCCCTGGTTAATTTTTCAACTTCTAATTTCTCTGCTGCAGTACTTCAGTTATTTGCGTTGGATGTAATCCAGAAGAGAGCAGGACATGTCAGGCTTAGAAGCTGGCACGCTGTGTGCTGCACCTGGGCAATCGAGCCTGAGACCCCATTATTTTTAACTTTGTGTGTATACATATATATATATATATATATCTTTGTATATACATATATATCTTTGCATATACATATATATATTTGTATATACATATATATATATAAAACTGTGAGCACAAAACCCTTTTTTCCTTTTTTTTTTTCTTTTGAATGGCATGAGATTTTAGTTAAGCTTTACATTTGCCTTGCTTTGAAGTTCTGCAATGATTGTGAATGAAACTTCTTACACACCCGTCATAGGTTGAGCACACTGCTTTTTGTAACTGTTTTGCCTGTCTGTTATAATCTGTTGCTTTTATTTAATGTCTTATTAAAGAGAGTCTCTTTTCAAAGTATCTTCAATTTTGAGCTTTATTACTGAGTAAGCTTATATTACTAAAAATTATGCAGTGAGCTACTTGACACACCTATTTAAAGGGAAATCAGTTCCGCTTTTTTAGTGCTGTTCTTTTACTTTCGATTTCAGCTGATGTTTCTGCAGCAAGCAGCCCTTTTGGTTTGTTTAATGGTGTACTTGAGCAAAATATGCTCAAATTTTAGCCCAAATTTTGAATCCTTTGTGGGTAGGATGAAGAAACATTAGCAAGCAGAACCTGTTTCCAAAATTAGCCTGTCAAACTGAAGGAACTGTCTGGGAAGGTATGATACTATTCAGTTAGGGCAGATACTATTCAGTAAAAGGCTGTATATTCAATGTCAGTTATACTGGTTTGTCCAAGAAGAATTTCCACATGGAGACACCTACCACTAATTTCATTTTTAAGAAGCTGGACAAAAAATGTCTTTGTTCTTTAAAACCTGCTGGTTATTGCTAGTATTACATTTAAACCTTAGCAGTTCTTTTTTTCTTTTTTCCATTTCTCTTCTTCTTTCTTTCTTTCTTCTTTCTTTCTTCTTTCTTTCTTTCTTTCTTCTTTCTTTCTTTCTTTCTTTCTTCTTTCTTTCTTTCTTTCTTTCTTTCTTTCTTCTTCTTTCTTTCTTTCTTTCTTTCTTTCTTTCTTTCTTTCTTCTTTCTTTCTTTCTTTCTTTCGAATATTTATTCTTCAATCTAATCATAGATGGGAACTTTTTAACTTTATAGTGATTCCCTGGCTGTAATTGCAGGGCTCTTTCACTTTATGGCGTTTGTGCCCTTTTTGTCAGTTGTTCCCAGTAACCAGAACCCACTGGCAATGCCTGCAGCAGCTGCTCACTAAGCCCAAAGAGTCCCACCAGTCTGCCGTGCCTTCCCTTATTAAAGAGAGACGTGATCAGGTATACTAACCTCACAAACACTGTCCTTCTCTAGCTAAGTACAAAGAGCTCAGTTGCCAACCAGAGGTGTCTTTCTTCTTTCAGCTGATTTTTTCCTCCTCAAAGTCTATTTTTTTATTAATATTAAACTCCATTACTGATGTGGGCATATATTCCAGCCTTGAAAGCACAGCCTTGAAGTGAAGTGAAAGTGAAGTGTTTTCACTGAAGTGAAAACAAATGGAAGAAGCCAAGCAATAATCTGTTTAGCATGTTAGAAATGTTTAGGTCCCTGATCTTCATGATTGCCTTCAGAGTATGTGGTCAAGAATGTAATCCAAACCAATCTTAAAAGAGGAGCTTTAGTCCTCTTCAGTTCCTCTGTTCCACTGTTGCCTCTGCTTTGCCTGTGTGTGTCAGGGGCATCCTAAATCAAGTAATCACTCAGAACTAAAAGCCAGTGGTGTAGTGGTTTCCATGCCTAAGGCGATAAAAACTGTCCACTGTTTTAGTCCTTAAAAAATAAATAATGAGAGCTGTGCAGTGCCTCTAGGGACATGAGTCAGTAGGCAAAGCCACATGACTGAAATACGTCCCAGGGACCTCACCCAGTATCTGCACTAATAGCATTGACGAGGTACTTCTAATGATCTAAGAGGGGCCCACTGGATACTCACAAAGCTGTCTCGTGCCTCCTTCCAAGAGCTGAGCCTCCTGGATTCTGGCTGCACCACCTTCTTGTAATGGGTAGCAGGACTTGCTCAGAGCCAAACATCTCCTTTCACTGTCTCGTTCCACCTGTCTGAACCAACGAAGCCTGGTCCTTTCCAGCTATCAGAAAGTAAGAGACTGAGTGACAAGAGACAAATCCCAAGTGCTGACTGCCCTCGCACTGTGCACATCCTTTAGCCTGCTCTCTTCTGTACCCTTGCTGTTATTTTATGGAGTGCATGGAGCATTCCTGTTGTAAGTCATATCAAGGTCCAGAATGTGAGACAATCTGTGAGTGATGTCCCAGGGTGGCTTTGTCCCATCTTACATACACCTCCAGGGCTGCCACGCTGTCAGAATAATGGGAGAAATACCTAGATGCCTAGACTAATGGAAAAAGACAAGACAGTGTAACTTGTTTTTTGGACCTCCAATCTCTTCTGCAGAATTTATTGTCACTTTGTCCTTTATGCCCCAGAACATCAAACTGATCACCAATTGCTTTTTATTTGAATGTGCTCAGTGTGACAAGACACTGCAAACATGTCTAAGGCATCTGAAGAGGAGCTGTGGCTCACTGCCCTGTCTGTTCTCTTACCAAAGCTCACTGCATGTGTGAATTAATAGAAAGGAGTCACACAGAGAGGGAAAGGTCAAACCACGGCAAACAGCTAAGCAGACTTCTGTGGATTATAACTACTGGCATAGTTTTCCTCTGATGGAAAATATACTGCTTTCCAAAACTGGGTCTCCTTGGGTTAGGGAGCAATAGATGGCAGCTATGCACAAGGTTATGAGACCTCAGACATCATAGAATCACAGACTATCTTGAGTTGAAAGGGACCCACAAGGTCATTGGGACCAATTCCTGGCTCCATGCAGGGCAACCCAAAAATCAAACTATTCATCTGAGAGTGTTGTCCAAACGCTTCTTGAACACCCTCAGGCTCAGTGCTGTGACCACTGCCCTGGGGAGCCTGTCCCAGTGCCTGACCACCTCTGGGTGCAGACCCTTTCCCTAACCCCCAGCCTGACCCTCCCCTGTCCCAGCTCCATGCCATTCCCTCGGGTCCTGTCGCTGTCCCCAGAGAGCAGAGCTCAGCACCTGCCCCTCCGCTCCCCTCGTGAGGGAGCTGCAGGCCGCCGTGAGGCCTCCCCTCAGCCTTTGGGCTGAACAAACCAAAGGACTTCAGCTGCTCCTCTTATGTCTTGCCCTCTAGACCCTTCATCATCTTTGTGGTTTTCCTTTGGTCACTTTCTGATGGTTTTATGTCCTTCTTATACTATGGTGCCCCAAACTGCACTCAGTACTTGAAGCGAGGCAATCACTTCCCTCGACCGGCTGGCTATACTGTGCTTGATGGGCTGTGTTCTTCCCAATGACTTAGCTAATGCAGCGTAAGACCAGAAGCATTGAGTTATGGGATGTTGCTGCTTCAGAGCATGGGGCGTAGAGAGCAGGAGCAGGAGCTTTGAGTCAGAATAGTGACGGGCTTGTGCAGGAGAGGCAGGAGGAGACAGAAGCAGGATGCTTTCCATTTACCTGTCCCAGCGGGCCTTGCAGTTCACTGGCATGCAAGCTGAATAACAAGGTCCATACAACAGCCTGAAGAGACACCTCTTATGAAGACCCCTGAAACTGGGGAAGGCTTCAGTCTGCTGCACTGGTTATGTTATTATTCAACATTATGTCTCCATAGTATGAGCTAACCTTTACCTCTTTCGCTTCAGTGAGGATACAGCAAAAATATTTTCTTAGTCAAGTAGAACATTGAGTAGACTGCTGATGTTTTGAATAATATTTCTACCAGGATATGAATGATATTAATTTTTATTTACATTGAATTTTTGCTGGGAACAGGCTCTTCTCCCTCTCAGGACAACAGAAAGGAAGAGAACACCTAGGCTGGGTCTTTGGTGGGAGCAGACAGACAGATCTCCCACCAAAGTCTGAGGGACTGAGGTGGCAACCAGTTACATCCCACAGAGCTGAAAAAAAGCCATTGTGCCTCAGCTCCAGGAATAATCCTGCGTCACTGTTGGGATGATAGTGTAAAAATGGAATAATACTTCCCTGATGCTAGGCCAAGGATCTAACCCCCTTGGCTGTGTGAATTCATCTGTATGGAGCTTTTGTCTTGCAGAACATAATGTCTCTGGCAGTGATGAGCAAACTTAGACTCTCATCCTTTGCCACCTATTGGAGAGACATAAGGTATACAGGTATGGGCAGACTTACCTTCCACCAGCCTAGATGAAGAATCCATGAGCAGGGACAGGGTCTCAGGGTTTCCACCGAAATTTCAACAAAGTCTAGATCAGAACCATCTCAGCTTGGTTTAGATAGCAAAAGAGACCAAGTGAGGGAAAGCTTTTGCATGATTGTGGTGACTGATGAAAAGGGAGGGGAGGAGATGGTGGCGAATAGAAAACACTTCTCAGTCAGATTGTGGAAGAATCTATTTGTCCCCAGGAGGCACAGGGTGGAAGAAGCTTTGGTAGAAAAACATTTCCCTTCAGGTAGCAGTAGCATTTCTCCATGTCTCTTAATGATAGTATAGAGCCAAAGTTGGCAGGGAAGACAATACTAGGTTATTTCACGGTTGCATGCTATTATGAAATGGAAAGAGATGGGACTCACCTCTTCAGGAAATATGCTGACATCCTTGGTCAGAAGCTATATGATATCTCAAAACAGCACAGCAGCAGACACAGCTGTTAACCCTTCTCTTCCCTTTCCCTTTCACTCTCAAATGTAATGTCAAGATTTGGAAGAGAGGTCAATTTGAATCACAGGCTGGATCTTGTCCTTTGCACCGGGAGATTTGAGTGTCTGGCAGTAGGAAAATTTCAGGCACAGAGACACCTGAAGTACCTGGTCTGTAGTGAATAGTTAAAAATCCTGTATCTGGGCAGGAAGGAAGCAGCCTTGGCTACTGCACTCTAGGCCAAATGAAACCTTTTGCAGGGAGGGGGAAATTGTTGATCTTTTGAGACTGGCTGAGCATATGTAACAGAGAGGTATTTCAGCAGTACTCAGAGTCCAGGTCTGCTAGACTCTGCTAGATGCTGTACAAACAGGGCAAAAAGACTACTCCTGCTGTTAAGAGAGACTAGCGAGTGTGTGTGAAGCCTGCTAGGAAGAATGCAACAGTGCTTGTAGCCTTCTGGAGGCCTTTGAATCAGCCTTTGAAATATAAAGCTTTGTAATTTGAATGTGCCAGCCTAAAGACAAAAAAAAAATGTTAAGGAAAGAAAAAAAAAATCAAAGGAAAGGGCCATGTACATGTATGAGAAGCTGTAGAAGCATTGAGCTTCAGAGATAAAGTTGATCCACAGAATAGCACCAGACTGACTCAGGGAGACACAGGGTCCTAAAAATTAGGCTAATAAAATTCATGAGCAGGCAACAAATGGAGCATAAGAACATGTACTATTACACATACAAAATCATATGGTGTTTGGCTCAGGGTCATGCTGAATGTCCTACTTGTTAATACAGTACAACTTCCTTGTCATTTACCTTCTAAAGCCTGGACAAAATCAAGCGTTAATGTACTGTCCACCTTCATCTGCAACACCTTAAGAGGAATGTAAAGTTTACTATTGTGGTTCTTTATTTTTTTGCTAAATTTGTAGGAAATAGGATGTATATGTAATTTTAATTCAGCTACTCTATTTCATAATAAATATTTCTAGTAAAGGTCTTTTACAATCAGTTTCTCAGAATACTGTGGTTTTCTGAAAGCCAGGTTTTCAGATCATCCCTGGATCCCAGCTCATGCTGTCAGGTTCTGTGACCTGCAACATGCTCACAGAATGCTGGAATCCTGAGAGAAGCAGTGAACATTGCTTGCAGCAGAGAGCTGCAGAGAAATTTACCCTTCTTCCTGGGCCCCCTGAGAAAATGCCAGAGAGTTTCTGCAACTGAGAAAACTAACAAAAATTGCTGGACTAGAAAGCAGAACCAGAGGAAAGGTCTTGGAGGGCACACAACAGGTTTTCCATTATTTTTTATTTGTAGATATAAAGATTCTCACTGAAAATTTCATCACATACATTGATAAACATATTTGCCTCTTTTCATCCCTTTACACTGTGAAATGCAACTTTAGGAAACCTTTTAGAGCTATGGAGAGTATCTAGCTGAAGGGCCATGGAGCAGTAAATCATACAGACAGAGGAAAGCAGCTGAGTACTAGCAGGCAGGCAGCATTTGTGTGGACAGAAGTAACCTTTTGGTATGCAAGAGTGGGCTTTTGTGTCTGTGTCTATATACCTCTGAACACATGTCTTGTGAGAGTCTGTAGCCTCTGAGAGCTCTGGTTTATTTATTTTTTAGTTCCTTGCTCTCTTTCTCAGTTAAGTACATTTTTACTCGAGAGAGACCTTTTTCCCAGCAGGTCATCTTTATCCTCACTGCTTTTTCATTAGCAAAAAGCAAGAGCCTGCAGTTTGTGCACTGGGTGTAGATACAGGGGAGGGTAGCGATACCATTGCCAAAGTGCAGTTCAGAGCTGCTAAGAGTAGGAGCCCACAGCTGGTGAGGAGGCAGGTGCCTCCACAGCGTGGCTGAGATCCCCAGAGTTATCTGACAAGGTCATAAGCACCTATGAAGAACAGATAAGGTAGGCTACAAACACAGATTCTCTCTTCACACAAGCGCTGTTTAGACAGTGACAACTAAAATTACATAAAATGTATGCATGCCACCAAGACATCTTCCATTTTCGGTAGTTTGTGAATAGCAGTTTATCCTAAGCGTCCCAAGCCATGCACATTTAACTAGGTATGGAAAGCAGAGTGTTCATGTGAGAAAGAAAAGCAACATGTTGCACAGCAGCTGTTTCATCTTCTTATAGCCATTTAAGTGTGTATCTTGACTCAAAAGTCATGTCACTTTTAATCCCAGACTACACCTTTTGCAATAAGTTCTTTCCCAGATTTCAGTACGGGCCACAGAAGCTCTGCTTTCTTCCAGTGCACTGTGGACAAGTCTTTCTTGTCCACATGCTCTAACTCTTCAGGATGGATTTCCTGTTTGTGCCAGACAGCTTTAACTGGTGACTTCTGAAGAAGCATCAGACAATAAACTCTGCAGCACTTCAGTGCAAACTGTTTTTGAACGTCATCTTCCAAAGTAACACTAGCTTGCTGAAAATCAAATGAGAACAGTTGTGAAATCCTTATAGTGTTACTTTGATTAGCATACATTGCCTCCCTCTGTGCTCATTCTGTGCAGATGCTCTGCATGAGCTAAGCATTGAAGAATTTCGTTTGTGAAAGCTGGTAGTATTAAAGTGGGACAGGCAGGGGTCCCAGGGGCACCTTAAAGAATCTTTTATTTACTAAGTCCTGGATGCTGGAACATTCCAGCAACCAGAAGCTGTCTGTATTTCCTCGTATTCAACAGAGTTCTGCAGAGACCTTGACAAGGCTGAGCTTTTGAAAAGGCCCAGCAAACTTCAAAAGGAGGAAGCTGCTCTCTGGAAGCTTCGTATGTACCTATCTCCTGGATAAAAAACACTAGACTATACTCCATTTGTATAGCAAGGGGTCTTGGACCACAACAACAGCTTCTGCAAGCTTTCCCTTGCATCTCCAAGGGAACACTGCTTGTGTTCAGGGTCTGCTCTGATATAACATGCTACAAAAACAACAAGGCTGGTTGAAAGAGTGATATAAGAAGTTATGAGAAGCCTCAGCAGGGGCTTCTACCCACATGGCCTCTGCCCATCAGCCCAGCGGTTGTTTCAAGCTTGGTGTTGGCTGGGTGCTTGCCTGAGCTATCATGTAGGGATGCCTGTGTCCAGTCTTGTACCATTTTTTCTGACCCACGGACTGAATTCTCAGCTCATCTTTGACTTGCCCCATCACTGTGGGCTTGCCTGGTGATTGCTACTCTGTGGCTGACCCTCATCACCATCATCAGCCCTGCTCTGCTCACCTGGTAGGACTGCACCCTCATTAGGGAGGGCATTGCCCTGCCTCTCCTGCCATTCCTCACTGCTCCTGATGCAGTTTTGGGAAGGTTACATGTATCTCTGTGCATGCCAGCGGGTATATGTGGGAGTATACGGGCTAGAAAGAAGATCCTCTCTACAAATGGAAAATAATTCCAAGAAGAGAGACCTATCCTGTTTTGTACAAAACTGCACAGACATAACCAGAAAACTGAATCTTTGGCCCTATTTCTGGGCTGTATCTTTACTTACCTTAGTAATTTTTTTGTAAAAGTCTGAGTGCTGTTGGAAATAGGCATTTCTTAAGAGTTCTGTTACAATTGGCATCAGCTCCTACAAACCAAAGACAGCACAAAAGCAAGCTTAGCATGTGATGCCAGCAGTGCAGCCCCTGAGTGTGCTGGGAAATAATCTGGGAAAATTGTGTTTCCCAGATCATGTCAATCAGCAATGGAGAAACTTCCAGTTTCAAGATTTGGAGGAAGGTCCTATAAAAGCAATATGCATCTGGGAAATGTCTTCTGCACTTGTTTATGTGCCTCAGCCAGCCACACAATTCAGACATGCAGCATATGTCTGTGGGACACAGAAGGGTTGCTGAAGATCAACTTTCCACTCCCCCATCCCTTTCAGCTCATGACTTATCCCCACTGTCATCACCAGTATACTTTAACAGTGTCCCTTGTAGAAACTAAGCTCTAAATGAATGGCAGGCACAGATAGCCCCGTTATCCCACCACCTGGTCCCAGTTACACAGAGAAAATAAATACTTGTTTGCAGTTGGCCATAGCGTAATTCAAAAATGAAACGTCAAGGACATTAAATATGTCATTTTTTCTCTTCTCTATGTCTTTCTCACAGGTGTCAAACAGCTTCTACAATAGAAAAACAACAGCTGATCAGAGCAGCAATCACAGTGAAATGGAAAGCATGGTGTGAGAAGAATGGTCTGAAAACACATCAGCATTAGAGTAAATTGCAGGGTCCATAATTGACTGAAATATGTCTTTAATACTTGGGAAATAAACTGTTTCAATGAGCTGTCTGCATGTTGAAGCCCATTCATCAGCATCTGTGGGTCCCTGCCATTGCAATCGATGGTAATAATGGTTTCATCTCAGTTTTGTCCTTTAAGGTTTACCATTTTCCTTTAGATTATCTCAGAATCAGAACAAAGAGTCAGACATCAGAATGGGATGTTCTATCTAGTAGTTAAAGCATTACCCATAAGAAAAATAGACTGATTTCCCACTTGTGCTTAATATGGGTGATAAATGGGACTGGGATTTGAACATGCCTTTTGGAAAGGCAGGAGGAAGCAGGTCTTTGTCAGTTTGCTCTCTACATCACTACATAGGCCCTGCTGGACTGGTAAATAACAGACAGTAACATAGTTCCCAATCCTGTCTGGTATAGAAGTACTAAATACTCAAAGCCTGCTGTACTGGCTATAGCACATCAATTTGATAAGATTCAGGTTGATAAAATGGACACGAACAAACCTTAATTATGCTTCTGCCATTTTTATATGTCATGTTGGTTGAGTTTGTCTTGAATTTTTCCCAGTCATGTAGCCTAAGCATCTCATACAATTGCACTACAGCAGACAAGCGTGAAGGGTCATTCATGTTCTCTGATTGCTTGTGCATGCTCATCATTTTAGACAAGAGCTCGTTGTTTCTAGAGCAAGAAGGATATTCAAAAAGTTAACTAAGACAAGATTAAAAAATGAATAAGCATAACTATTTTAATTAATCTATTTCAGGAATACCATATTTTCTACAATGCACTTCTCAGCTATACCATACCAGGTGATAAGCAGCTTTTGTGTGGGAAAGAGTACTTTCATGTCTCAATTTTGCATGGTCACAGTGATCAATGAATGTGATTTGCATGTGATCAAAGAGCAGTATTTGGACTATGTCTTTGTACGCTGATTCTTTTTATTAACATGTTCACCCTGGGAACATCTCCTTCCCTTTGTAGAACAACCCAATCCATCTTCCTTGATGATTCAACTAATCAAATCCATCAGTTATAAAGAGATGCTGACAGGTCAAAAGTCTGGGGAGAAGGTGCCTGCACTGCCTGCTCAGAAAAAAAGAGTCTCTAAGGACTGGAGAAAGCAAGAAGTGTGTGGCTTTTCAGTGTAAAAACATGCTGCATCAGAAATCTGAATATATATGTTACCGTGTCTCTAGTCGTTTGATCTTCTCTTTCATCTTCTGATTTTCTTCCTCAAGCTCTTTTTGTGTGACCCTTCCAGAAAATGCTCTGAAACAGATTTATTTCAAGAGGTCTCTTCATCTGTGGTTATTGTATAACAGCAGACTTGCCTCTGTGGAATCACCAACATTTCAGCAAAAACACTGTGAGGTGGGAGGGCGTAGAGCACCCAGGAAGGATTCCACATAACCAGCTTAACAACCTCCTCCACCTAGGTTTTATACTCAAAGCAAGGGCAGAGCTATCTACAGCACAAGAAAGAGAGCTGGGGCTGTGAGGATCAGAGGTGAGACAAGAGAAAGACAATGGGCTTGAAAAAAAACAGAAGTATTCTCCACTGATTAGTATCTACGCTCATCTCTTCTATAGTTTTCTTCATTTTTAATATCAAAACAGCACCAAACATCCCAAATTCTTCAGAGAGTTTCTGTCTTCATGAATTCCTTTCTCCACAGATATCTGGGTAATTGCAGTCTCTCTCCAGTGGGTGAAATTCTCCCATCTCCAATGCCTATTCTTTAGGTGATACTGCTAGAGTTTAAAAAAGCCCTTTCTAAATGATAAACTAGATATTTGGTCTATCACATACTCACACCATAGAACTGTTTTGTTTTGTTTTTTCCTTATCATTCACCAGTTTTTTAGAGGTTATGTTTCCTTCTATATTTTAGATCTCAGAGCAAATACATTCAGTTCTAATTAAAAGCACACCTCTTGTCCCATGGTTCTTTCTGCTCCTTTCAGAGTAAGGCATACCATCTTGTATTAATATTTTGTTCTTGTGAATTATTCCATCAAGTCTTTATGCTGTCAATTAAATTACCTTCATTAGTGCACGCAGAAATATTGTGTTCAGAGACTGTCTAAATTTGGAGGTGGTAAATGTAGTACGTTTATTGAAGGAAAATGACTGGCTCTAGGTGAAAGGAGGATACTGAAATTCAGAAAATCCCAGCACTTACTCCAGAGAGCTTCCTTGTTGCTGGTTGTAAGGAGGGTCAAGTTTGCTGGTCTCCTGCATCTTGGAAAGATCAGATACAGTACTCTGCCTAGAAATGGAAAAAGCAATCTATGTTAAACAAACAGACCTGGGAATAAACAAAGAATAAGGACCTGAATGCGAGAGGTGTGATCTGGATCTATACTGGTTTCTTGACAGCCTTCCATAATTAAGCAAACTAACTCACTTAGTCACACAAGTGACTAAGCTTGATCATTATTTGAGTCTAGGTCCAGGGTCTGGGAGTCACTGCCTTACATAAACCCAAGTCTTGAACCTGAGTCACTCCTGAAGAAAGCTCTATGGTTTCAGAAAGTCTAACTGTTTCTACTGCTTGCCTGTCCTCATTATCAGGCTACCCATGACTGATCATCCGCAAATCCTTAATGACTCTACTGATACTCCAAACAAGATCAGAAACTTTAAAATACTACAACTTGTCCTCAGTGAAATCCCAATAGGAAAGCCTCTTCTTCACAAAGCTGTGTATAGTTTAGAAAGGGTTTGGAAATCCAGCTATACTACTTGAAGTTTATTCACTCCTGGCCTTAGTTACTGTGAATGATCTATGTTTGTATTTTTTTTTCCCCAAAAAGTGATTCATTAGGCTATTATTTCTTTTCCTTTACTCCTGATCAACAACTTCCCTCCTTCTTCTCCATATCCCAGCTACATGTCTTCCATTGATGCATGCTTAGCTCAGGAGGGCAGTTTTCACAAAACAAACAAACAAACAAACAAAAACCATGACTGACTACACATCTACTCCAAATGTCTTCAGAGCTGCTTTTACCACTTCTCCTTTCTTGTTGGGCTGCATGCCTTTATCTTGGGCAATGCTCTTGCTAAAGGAGCCATTACCTATTCATAAAAGTATTTGCATAGAAATGAAAGTTTATGTCTCAAGATGATTTAGAATCATAGACTATCCCAAGTTGGAAGGAACCCATATGGGTCATTGACACTCCTGGCACCACACAGGTCTATCCAAAAAATTAAGACCGTGTGACTAAGTGCACAGTCCAAAGGCTTCTTAAACTCCGACAGGCTCAGTGCTGTGACTACATTCCTGGGGAGCTGTTCCAGTGTGCGACCACCGTCTCAGTGAAGAACCTCTTCCTGATGTCCAGCCTGAACCTCCCCTGTCACAGCTTGACACCATTCCCACAGGTCCTATAGCTGGTCACTAAAGAGAATAGATCAGCAGCTGCCCCTCCGCTCCCCCTTGTGAGGAAGCGGTAGACCGCAATAAGGTCCCCCCTCAGCCTCCTCTTTTCCAGGCTGAACAGGCCCAGTGACCTCAGCCACTCCTCATACATCTTCCCCTCTAGGCCCTTCACCATCTTTGTAGCCCTCCTCTGGACACTCTCCATCAGTTTCATGTCCTTTTTGTACTGTGGTGCTCAGAACTGCACACAGTGCTCGAAGTGAGGCTGCACAGGGGCTCAGAGAAGGACAATCACCTCCCTCGATCGACTAGCAATGCTGTGCTTGATGCACCCCAGGATACAGTTGGCCCTCCTGGCTGCCAGGGCACACTGCTGGCTCATATTCAACTTGCTGTCAACCACAACCCCCAGATCCCTCTCTGCGGGGCTGCTCTTCAGCATCTTGTCACCCAGTCTGCACATTTAGCCATGGTTGCCCCATCCCAGGTGCAGGACCTGGCACTTGCTCTTTAAACTTCATGTGGTTGGTGATTGCCGAGCTCTCCAATCTGTCCAGATCTCTTGGCAAGGCCTTTCCACCCTCAATAGAGTCAATAACTCCTCCAAGTTTAGTATCATCAGCAAATTTGCTCAAAACACCTTCCAGCCCTACATCCAAATTGTTTATAAAAACATTGAAGAGGACAGGCCCTAAAATGGAACCTTGAGGGACCCCACTAGTGACCATCCATCAGCCAGATGTGTCCCTATTTACCACAACCCTTTGAGCCCTGCCCGTGAGCCAATTGCTCACCCATCATGTGATGTTTTTGTTTAGCTGTATGCTGGACATTTTGTCCAGTGGGATCCTATGGGAAACTGTGTCAAAAGCTTTACTGAAATCCAAAAAGATCACATCAGCTGGTTTCCCTTGATCACCTAGATGAGTGATCTCATCATAAAAGGAAATTAAATTTGTCAAACAAGACCTACCCCTTGTGAACTGCATTGTCCCCCAGGTGCACTTCAATAAATTCAAGGATCATAGAATCATAGAATCATAGAATATCCTGAGTTGGAAGGGACCCTTAAGGATCATCAAGTCCAACTCTTGACACCTCACAGGTCTACCCAAAAGTTCAGACCATGTGACTAAGTGCACAGTCCAATCTCTTCTTAAATTCAGACAGGTTCGGTGCAGTGACCACTTCCCTGGGGAGCCTGTTCCAGTGTGCAACCACCCTCTCTGTGAAGAACCCCCTCCTGATGTCAAGCCTAAATTTCCCCTGCCTCAGCTTAACCCCGTTCCCGCAGGTCCTGTCACTGGTGTTAATGGAGAAAAGGTCTCCTGCCTCTCGACACCCCCTTACGAGGAAGTTGTAGACTGTGATGAGGTCTCCCCTCAGCCTCCTCTTCTCCAAGCTGAACAGGCCCAGTGACCTCAGCCGTTCCTCGTACGTCTTCCCCTCCAGGCCTTTCACCATCTTCGTAGCCCTCCTCTGGACACTCTCCAACAGTTTCATGTCCTTTTTATACTGTGGTGCCTAGAACTGCACACAGTACTCGAAGTGAGGCCGCACCAGCGCAGAGTAGAGCGGGACAATCACCTCCCTTGACCTACTGCTGAAGTCCAAAAAAAATCACATCAGCTGGTTTCCCTTGGTCCACCATATGGGTGATCTTATCATAAAAGGAAATCAGGTTAGTTAGGCAGGACCTACCCTTCACAAACCCATGCTGGCTGGGACCAATGACTGCTTTGTCCCCCAGGTGCGCCTCAATAAGTTCGAGAACCATCTTCTCCATGATTTTACCAGGCACTGACGTGGGACTGACAGGCCTGTAATTTCTAGGGTCTTCTTTCTGACCCTTCTTGAAAATCAGCACAACATTTGCCAGCTTCCAGTCTACCGGGACCTCTCCAAATTCCCAGGATCATTGAAAAATAATTGAGAGAGGTTCCGCGATGACGTCCACCAGCTCTTTCAGCACCTGGGGATGAATCCCATCCGGACCCATGGACTTGTAGGGATCCAGGTGGAGTAGCAAATCCCGCACACGTTCAGGGTCGGTTGGGAGTTTGTCATCCCCACCGTCCCAGCCCTCCAGCTCAGGGCGCCCTGGGTCCCGAAGCCCATCATCGGCATTGAAGACAGAGGCAAAGAAGGCGTTAAGCGTCTCTGCTTTGCCTATGTCATTGTCTGTGAGGAGACCTTCCCTATCAAGGAGCGGCCCTATGTATTCTTTAGTTCTCCTTTTTCCATTCACATATCTAAAAAAACCCTTTTTATTTTCTCTCACAGACACAGCCATCTTCAACTCTAGGTGTGCTTTGGCCACGCGAATTTTCTCCCTACAAACACAAACAGCATCCCTGTATTCTTTCCATGACACCTGGCCCTCCTTCCAGTAGCGAAACACTCTCTGTTTCCGCCTAATCTCCATTAGAATGTTCCTGGTCAGCCACACCGGCCTCCTGCCCTGCCTGCCTGACTTGCAATATTTAGGAATTGCCTGATCTTGTGCTTCTAGGAGGCATCGCTTAAAGAATGACCAGCACTGGTGGACATCGAGGCCTTCAAGAGCAGTTTCCCAGGGGACCTTGCTGACTAGTTCCCTGAGCAGCCTGAAGTCCGCTTTCCCCATATCTAGGGATGAGGTTTTGGTGGCACTTTTCCTTCTGTCACCGTAAATTTTGAACTCAACCACTTCATGGTCGCTATGACCGAGGCAGCCACCAATCACCACATCTCCCACCAGACCCTCTCTGTTTTCTAGCAACAGGTCTAGGAGGGCACCTTTCCTAGTTGGCTCCGTTAGCACCTGCACCAAGCAGTTATCATCTAGGTGCTTCATGAACCTCCTGGACTTGCTCGTGTCAGCCGTGTGGCACTCCCAGTTAACGTCTGGCAAGTTGAAGTCCCCCATAAGGACAAGGGGAGTTAATCTCGAGGCCTCTCTTAGTTCTGTAAAGAATAGTTTATTGGCGCTATCGTCCTGGCCAGGCGGTCTGTAATAGACTCCCACAACGACATCCCCTTTATTCGTTCGTCCCTTGATCCTTACCCAGAGGCTCTCAACTTTGCCATCGCCAACCTGAAGTTCCACACAGTCCAGCCCCTGCTTCACATACATCGCCACCCCACCACCTCACCTACCCTGCCTGTCCCTCCTGAAGAGCCTGTAACCATCTATCGCAACACCCCAGTCACAGGACTCATCCCACCAGGTTTCGCTTATGCCGATGATGTCGTAGTTGCGGGACTGGGCCAGGACTTCTAGCTCATCCATTTTATTCCTCATACTGCGTGCGTTCGTGTAGAAGCACTTCAGGTGCGTCTCCTTACACTCAGCACCTTGTGGATCTAACCAAAGGACCTCACTGGCACACAGCCCCTCTGATTCTAGCGTACCATCCCTTAGGTCTTCACCGGCGTGCCTGGTTTTAGCCCCTTCCCCCTTTGACTCTAGTTTAAAGTCCTATCTATCAGCCCTGCCAACTCCTGACCAAAGATCCTTACCCCTCTCCGAGAGAGGTGCATCCCATCCGGTGCCATCAGGCCCGGTGTAGCATAGACCTTCCCGTGATCAAAGAACCCGAAGTTCTGCTGGTCACACCAGTGACCAGTCACACACAAGTTTATGTGAACAGCACGCCTTTCAGCTTCGATTCCCCCTATCGGAAGGACAGAGGCAAACACAACCTGCGCCCCTGATCCTCTAAGTAGTCGCCCCAAATCCCTAAAGTCTCTTTTGATCGCCTTCAGACTTCTCATTGCTACTTCATCGCTACCAGCCTGAAAGACCAGAAGCAGGTAGTAGTCAGTGGGCCGTACCAGGCACTTGACTTTCTTGGCAAAGTCTCTCACCCAAGCCCCAGGGAGGCAACAGACTTCTCTGC